TAATTAAAAAATCTAATTAGGATCGGGTTATTACATTTAGTCTGATAATCTAATGGTAAATTAGGTAAACCACATGATAGTGGACCAAAGTACACATTAGGTACACCAAAATAAACCACAAAAGATACGTTGTATTATTTTAATCAACATGGTCCAGGAGTGTAATTATTAAAATTCAAATTGGCTATAAGGGCAGAAAGAAAATGGTGCTGAATGATCTAAGAATTTTAATTATAAAAAAAACGCAGATCGTTGAACTTGAAACATTCATAACATATGCAGTCATTGGAAGCAAATCCGCGTTGAATGTCAACAAGTATTTCTTAGTTTAACCCCACGCGCAAATTAGCTGTATGATTCTTTTATTTTTATCCTCTTCTTTGACTAGAAAGTTAGCTGCATGATCTGCAATGGAAATTGGCCATTACACTTGGTGTCAAGCAAATTGCAATAACTGGAAAACATGGATGAAGCTACAGAGATGATGACAAAATATAATATGTATTTACATTAAAAAAACTAGGACTTTATAGGCATGCCAATACAAACTTAGGTCATAAGACATACAATGCTACACCAAATTCAAACTAATTCAACGTTGGATCCCTTCATTTGCAGATCAATAAAAAGCTGATCTAAGCTGCAGGAACAAGCCCCAAATCCTTATTGTCTTCCCCAATTAAGTTAGCTACAATGAGGCTCACATCTTCCAGGCCAACTCCAATGTATAAAGGATTGGTTGGAACCCTAACCGAATCATCTGTTCCTTCGAGCTGAATCCCACCTACAGTGTTCGAAACCCTAATGTTAGGGCCATTTTTGCATTTTCCCATACACTTGCACCCAACAACAGTTCCTTCAACACCCATCACCCTCTCGAACTCTTCCAGCAATACGCCACCTCCTGATTTCTTGCACTTGTTGCCCATGCACACCTCAATCTTCAGGGCAGATGCTCCCATAACTGAGCTACTAAGAGCATCATTATGGCCAATACTACCACTACTGCTGATACAGCTTGTACTTGTTCCTGAGCAGCATTCTGCTTCCTGATTCTGTGAAATGCCAAATTCAGTGACATGTTCTACTGTGGTGTTCTCTTGGTGAGTGGCTATGTCTAATGAGCTCGGTAGGGTCAACACCGCCCCTTCTTGATGATTAAATGGCTGCAAACTGTCTAGTATTGGTTTCGCGGGGACTTCGCTTCTCAGGCAGTTCATGTCAACCACCTCCCCACATTCACTTTCACTTGATTCAGATGATGATGAAGAAGATGATTCACTGTCAACCATGTTTTTCATCCGTTCAGCTTTAAGCCTGGCCTTCTCTTCTTTCCTCTTTCTCTTTAATTCCTTCTCCTCTGCTCTTAGCTGCTCCAATTGTTTTAGCAATAATGCCTCTGCACCTTCCTGCATACACAGCAGATTTACACATTTAATATCCATGATTTCGAATAATAATCAATACCCAAAATCCAATTTTCAAGGAAAACAAAACATATCTAGCTCATTCTTCATAAAAGAACCCTGATTCTTATAAACATACACACACAAAATACATAATTTTATCCTACATATCACAGCCCAAGTACATAATAATAGATTTGGTCCAAACTATGTTAGTTCTCAAATTCAAAAGGGAACCAAAAAAGCCTACCATTAAAATGTAAAATTGAAAAATTGAAGACAGAAAGATGGGTTTTTAACCATAAAATGTAAAGCAACCACAACCACTTATCACCAAGAACAGAGATGAGGTGAGGTTAATCAGAAACATACCGAGATCAGCTTCCCCTGAAATTGAGCGACCAAACCCTCCTGAGAATCTAACGGTCCAAAACCCATCTGAGAAGACGCGGACAAGTCCTTGGACAACCCTTTGAGCAACTTCAGCTTCTTCTTGATCTCCTTCTCCTTCTTACAACCACATCTGGGACCCACGTGATAATACTGCACATGCCCGTCATCACAAAATCCAGAATTCAATTGCCCACGAAACCTTCTAGTTCTCAAAGACACTCCAAAATCTCCACGACCCTGAACCCGAAGCTCTCCAGGAAACGACGCCGTAGAAGACCGAGTAGTATCGATTCCAGCGCCGGAAAAGCAAGGTACTTGCCGGGAAACGACGCCGGAAACTTCCATGGCTTTTTTTGTAAACTAGAAGCTGAAACTTGGAAACTCTAAACCCTAAACCCACAAAACGCAGGGTATAGCAATAGCAGATAAATGGCTTAAGAGATCGTCGTCTGAAATCCTAAAGATCAAAGCTTTTTTATCTGCGTATCTTCCTTTCCTTGTATTACAGGGGCATGGAGATAGGAAGGAAGCTAGAAGATGGCTCGATAACTGATTGAACACGCGGGCGTTTTAGATTGGCGGGTAGTGACGTGGAGGCGGCGCGTGCAGGGCGCCTGGAAGCTTGTGACCGTTTTCGGTTGTCCACACGAATTGAGTAAAGCCTTCACCCTTCGATGGATTGGACCGTGGAGATTAAGCCAAGTGGTGCCACGTGTGCTGCCAAGTAGGCATTTCTTACATCCATTAACATTTTTTTACCAAAATGTTCTCTGTTTTTATTTGTTGGGTATTTTTCCTTTTTCTTCTGTAAAATCCTTTTGGACTTAATTCAAAAATAGGGAGCTTCGCTAATATAATTTTTGTAGGTACCCGGTACACCAGATGGCTGGTGTACCCACCAATGGAAATAAGACACGTTTAATAATTTATTTTTAGCCTTAAAATTGCAGTAACTTTTAACTCCGTTAGCCTTTTAACTCTGTTAGTGTTATGCACAAGACTCTACATTACAAACATGATGAATCCATACACACAGACATCATAAACTAGTACTTTTCCCTTTAACATCAACACCATAAACTAGAAATGCATTTGCATAGTTGGCAAGAAAGTCCAATATTTCCTTATCAAGATACACATCATTGAACTTCTGCCATCCATCTGTAACAATTAAAATTGAAGATATCATCAATTACAGAGATTAAAATTGAATGAAAAATTCGAACACAACAATAGAATCTACAAGAACAAGAAGGCAACCATAGACCCACCAGCATAGGCATGCAGAGCTTCAATGGCTGCAGCTCTGCTCAAATCAACAAGAGCAGACCCATTCTCCTTTGAATCCGAAAGGGTGGACCCAACAATTTGTTTCACTTTCCCCTGAAACCAAATCAACATAACAAGTACAGAAAATCAACAAAACACAAAAACACAACTGGGCTAAATACACACACACATATAAGATGAGAATACCAATAACCATACCACTATTGGAGCAAACCCCTAAGAACGCAAAACCAGTGCTTTCTCTGATCCCAAATCCAACACTTCCAAGCGCACCCAAAACCCCATCAACTCCTCACCCAACCCTCACTCTCTCCCCAACTTCTAACCACACCCACCTCCTCAACTTCCTCAAAACCGATATAAAAAAAACACACCATTTCGACCCCAATCTTCCTCAATTCTCTCTTTTGTTCAGATTGTGCTTTGAATTTTAACAAGGGGGAGTTCGATAATTTGGAGAACAAAAGAGAGAATTGAGAAATAAAAATGGGAAGACAGCAAAAGCCTAACAGAAGATTGGTAATGGAGACAAAGTTAAAAGACTAATGGAAGATTGGTAATGGAACAAATAGTTAAAAGGCTAAAAATAAATTATTACATGTGTCCTATTTCTATTGGTGGGTACACCAGCCAGTTGGTGTACTGGGTCCCTACAAAAATTTCTCCAAAATAAGGGTTGAAATTATAAAAAAAAACCTCAAATTGAATGTACTTTAGAAACACACCCAAAACTAATTTACTATATAAAAAATTGGTATTGAAGTTCCTATAAATTACGTGACTATTATTGATCAACTTAAAAGAAGCCCAACACAAAAAACTTAAAAAGCATCCAAAACAAGCCCATCCCAATTTTATAAAAAAAAAACCCAAACAATTCATTACAAACAAAATATCTTGAAAACTGTAGCTTCATTAACGCGTCATGTTGATTAATGACTGTAATATTCCACACCTTTTCTGTCATGTTGATTAATGGCTATAATGTTCCAGTCTAGGGTAATAACACTGCTAGTTTCTTATGACATCCTATTTCTAATGCATGTCTACCCATATAATGTTCCAGTCTAGGATAATAACACTACTAGTTTCCTATGACATCCTATTTCTAATGCATGTCTACCCTTGTAATGTTCCAGTCTAGGGTAATAACATTGCTAGTTTACTGTCACATTGATTAATGACTGTAATGTTCCAATCTAGGGTAATAACACTGCTAGTTTGCTGTAATGTTCCAGTCTAGGGTAATAACACTGCTAGTTTTCTATGACATCCTATTTCTAATACATATCTACCTTTGTAATGTTCTAGTCTAGGATAATAACACTGCTAGTTTACTGTTATGTTGATTAATTGTTTTAATGTTCCAGTCTAGGGTAATAACACTGCTAGTTTACTGTTATGTTGATTAATTGTTGTAATGTTCCAGTCTAGGGTAATAACATTGTTAGTTTTCTATGACATCCTATTTCTAATGCATATCTACCCCTGTAATGTTCCAGTCTAGGGTAATAACACTGCTAGTTTCCTATGACATCCTATTTCTAATGCATGTCTACCCCTGTAATGTTCCAGTCTAGGGTAATAACACTGCTAATTTACTATCATATTTATTAATGCTTGTCATATTGCTATTTCTAATACATGTCCACCAAAGAAAAGATGAAGAAAGAACAAACCAGACCAACTCAAAACAAGCGGGGCCCAGATTGTTAATACTATTATGTCATGAAAGTACATTATTAATGCTCTGTCATAGAAGTACATTGTTAAACAAAAATGAGATGCATAACTGAAATAGTAATAAAAGATAAATCGATCATCAAAGCTTAAAATACATTCTGAAAATCAACTAAAATCCAAAGAGAAACACATAATTGAAGCAAAAGATCAAAAATCTCAAATCCAAACCAAATGACAACGATGACGATGATGACGACAACGACGACGACGACGTGGCGAAAGAGGAGTAGAGCTCGAAGATGAGGAGTAGAGCTAAGAGCATCTGATCGAGGTTTGTTCGAGGTTCCGAACAATCCGGAAAAAAAAAATGAATAGAAGCACGATTTTAGAACAAGAAATCGAATGTGAAACATTGAAAATTGTAGATAAGAGATGGAGAATATAGTTGGACCTGAGACTAAGCTTCAATGAAAGCTCCTCTTGCTTTAACATCGAGAAAGCACCAGCGAGAAAGGAGAGAATGAATCTGATTTGGTTTTTTGGCATATCTGCTTTTGGTTTTTGGTAGATCTGATTTTTCTTTCTCAAATCCATAGTACAAGGGCAATATAGGTTTTTTTATTTTGGTGTGTTTATAGTTTTTAAATGGTATAGGGCTTCTTTATAAGACTATGTCTAAGATTGGGTATATAACTAATTTTGTATAAAAAGTAATCCCATAAATAATAATTATTTTTCTTTCTAGATAGAGTCAATTTGTGCATGACAACTTCATATTGGACTCGCATAATTTCTTCTTTCTTTCTTTTTTTCTAAAAAAGAAAAAGAAAATATTTTCTAATAGTTGTATATAAACAAGTCCTTTTATTTTATTTTAACTTCATAGTTATAAAAAAACGATTTAAAAATCTGACCAAATAAAGAAGAAAAAAAAAGTCTATTTGTAAAAATCATTCAACTGTGCTTTATATTTATAACTTCACAGCCTATTTGATAAGGCAACCAGCCCAAAATAAGAAATAAACTATTTGGTAGAAGCAAAGTCACAATGAGTCAATGACACAGAAGCCACATAAACATAATACTGATTTTCAACCACCAGGATCGGAATCAATCTCATGCAGGTAATTAGCAAAAACAGCAAGAAATTTCCGTGGACACCAAACATTCTTGGGGACAATAGGGCAGCCTGTGCAATGCACAACCAATTTTCAAAATACAAGTGCTAAATTTATAGATCTCTTTAGAGAACAAAAAAAAGGTAAAATAAAGCCACAGGCAGTTGAGCTGGGATCTTATCACAAAAGAAGATTAAATACAGTGAACATTGTTTAATATTATACACAAAAAGCAGAAAGTATAATCAGTAGGAGATCTTTTACAGCAACTGTTACCATAGTCAGTTGATCATAGTAGGAGCTTTGATTGGTGAAGAGTCCATGTCCATGCCATCAGTAGTCGGCCTGGAAAGCCGGTTTTAGGTAGCCTCTGAGTGATTCAACATTCTTCACTTCTCAATGCTTCACAAAACTGGATTTTGAACCTTTTGCAGTCAATTATTCGACTTCTGTTTGCAGCTGGGGTTCTTGTAAACTTCAAAAAAATAAAATGAAGAAAATGCTTAACTTTCTTATAAACTTATAATTGGCAGCAGGAAGTCTCTCATTGCAGCTTGTTAGGAAGATGCTATGCCAGCCAACAGCTCTTGAGAACCTCCCAAGTGTCCCGGTACTCGCTGTCTTATTTCTTCAAAAGCACATAATGTTTCAGAGTCTAGACCTCCAGCAAACTGCAGACATACCAGGAAACAGAATGAGAAAAGAGTTCCACAATGTAGGCAGCTCAGAGGACAAATATAAAAGGGGGTATTAAGGGCACATGACATAATATCAAGAAGAAAGTCAACAATTGCATTCCATGTGTAATTCATCATATGAAGTCAGCTTCTAAAATTTTATAAGCTTGAAGATCTTATGAAGTTGGTTTGTTAAAAGGTTGCCTTATCCCATGATAAGAGGTCTGTCTTATAGTGCAAATAAAGATTGGAACAGAAAAAAGGGAAAACGAATCCAGTTGCAGCAACTTTGTTGTTACTCCCAGGCAAGAATCCGATTAGACAGGGAACCCAAGATGTCTACATAACAATAGAAAATTAGACAGGGAACCCAAGCCATTTCAGAGAAATGCCGCATGTGATGAAACATAGTACCCCAAATCCATCATATGTCCAGTCTCCATTAACCTACCATGAGGTCATTAACTGAGATACTGCACAGCAAAGAAAGGAGTTTCTCCTTTTTATCATTCTTGCTCACTGTTCAGCTTCTCATAATAAAGAGGGTGGGTGGATTCATATTAGAGGGAAAAACAACACTTGAAAGTGTGAGTTATACATTTGCTGCTCCAAAATTGAAACAATATCCCCTATGATATTCAGTGCAACCCGACTTGATTGCCCTTATTTTCTCTTAAATGGATTCATTAGGCTCCTTGTTAGGTGATCCTATCCATACCATAACTATGAACAAACATAGAAATTGCTGACTCAAGGATTACCTGGTGAGCCCTATATACAAAATGCACGCCCTGAAGCAGAAGAGATTCTTGACTTGTTTCTCTATCTGAATTCCGAATGGATTCAAGCTCCATCGTCACCCTCTTCATATAAACATTAGCCAGATTCATGGAAGCCTTCTTTATCTACACAATTTGGGACAATATAAACATAAGCATATTCCTCAACAGCCGCTAAATAATGATGTACACAAGGCTTTAAAATAATTCCTGACATAAGATTACAGACAATGAGATTGAACAAAGCCACTAAATACAGCAGGAGATATGCTGATATAGCTCTGCAGAAAGTTTAATCTACCAAAAATGTGAAGATACTTTAAAAGGTTTCTGCCATGCTGAAATCTGTATTTTTCAAATTAAACTGCATAATTTCATTATCACACTCAATATATTAGAGAATGCACAAAAAAAAGCATACCTTACTCACAATCCCAGAATCAAGCATCCAATCGATTGGAATTTTCAATTCCTGATAAGAACGCATAACTGAGTTTCTTAACTTAATTAGCCTTTGCATACTTCGCTCCGACCTTAGACAATGAGATGAGAGAGAGCAACATTAACATGCTGGGCCTAGAAATACTTTTAACGAATATAAAAGATAATTTACATAGTTCTTACTTGTCTAATAAGCCAGCCATCTTCTTCAAGGCAGCTGCACATGGAATGTCAGTGTCATCCTTATAAGAAGAAATCTCACTTCGCAACATTTTAAGGTCACGATATTCTATTGCAGCTTCTCGCATGGCATCAGCTTTCCTCTCAGGCCACTTAAAATGCTTTAAGACAGCCCGTTCATCAGCCTGTAGAAGGCATGAAAATGTTAGACTTATCCACCCATTCATGTATCTGACTCTCTGAACCAGTTAAGCTTCTTACATTACAATATAGTAGGGGTGCCCAGTTTCAAAACTCTCCAAAGCAGAAGCCAATGGAAGATTAACATTTTTAAGTACCTAAATGGCCTAAAGTAATACAAGATAAGCTGAATTGCAATCAGAGATACCACTCGACCATCTTAGGCAGGCTAATAGATTACAAATATTTACAACCCCCTGTTTGTTATATGTTTGGCTTGCAATTCTCTCCATAAAATATATCCTACAGTTGCAATTGATTCTAGAAAATCTTGGCTTCTGCATATGGAATGGTACAGAAAATATGATACTTTTTTGATTTGGTAAAATTAAAGATAGTTGGGCGTTAGAAAGTACCAAGGATGAGAGTTCTCCATCAAGCCAATCCACAAATTTTAGGACATCTTCTATATCAGTATATGCTGCAACCAGCACCTTCTGGATAAGGTCATTTATGAACTCTCCTTTTGTTTGAACATCTGCTTTTATCTGGAAAGAATTGTCATTAAATAATGATTCAAACTTCAAGCTGAGGCAGCAGAAACAAAAGAAGCAATAAGGTATCAAACTCATAAAAGCTTACAGCTAACAGATGTGCTGAACGGTTTTGAATCTCTCCGACTATGCTATTATGTGCACTAATAGCCGATGGTTTATGATGGTTTCTAGATTCTGGAGAGTCCCTCTTCACCTCTTGCTTTCTTAATGAGTGATAAAATTCTACAAGGGATGGAGCCTTCTGAGTGGCACTGGTAGTTGTTCTCACTGAGGGCTGAGGTGGAGGTGGTGGTGGGGTCGGGGATCGAACTGATGGTGGTGGTGGGGGCGGAGGTGGTGGCCCAGATTGGGTGGCTGCAACTCTAGGAATTGTACCAGTTGGTGCTGGAGCTGGTGTTTTATTAGCACTTTTTTCTTTGACTGCCTCTTTCTTTACTACTGGGCGTTCTAATTTGTTGGCAATGAGTTTCTGAAGGTCTTTAAATTTAGGGCTCTGGTACTCTCCATTTGTCTCCCGCTACATCAGCCAAAACAGAAATGATATCAAAACTACAAATAATCAAGACTATATTTCAGAACAACCAAATTGAATTTTCTTCCAGAAACAGATACAAAATCTTAAAAGCGCAAAACCCACAATCAAATATTAAGAACAAAATCAATAACTGCAGTGAATAAACATTGCAACCAATAAAGGCACCACCATTTCACGGAAAACAATCACAGACTCATGAAAGTTCGTGTCTTTACCTGTTCACGAGAGGTAAAAGCTGCTATCTTTGCTTCAGCAGCAGCTAGTTTCTCAGTGAGGTTTTTGTTCTGTGACTGCAGCTCCACGTTCAAGCACTGAGTCTTATCCAACTCTGCCTTCAAGGCCAACACCTCAGCCTGCAAATTCATGATCAAACTCTCACTCATGTCAAGTTTTTCCTGCAATTCTCTGTTTTTCTCATGTGGGTCTTCTTCATTTCTATTGGAATTAGGATCCGCAGGCCTCTGCCGCCTTGGCCTTACAAATTGCTCAGCAACCTGCCGGTTTCCAGGCCTACCCACAACTTTAGTCTCTTCAAGTTCCTTACTTTTCTGAGATCCCAACATTAACTCTCCAGATTTAGGCTTGTTGAGCAAAAGAGACCTCCTAATGCTCCTGGAATTGTCACAATTCACATCTGGGGAGACTGACTTTGCTCTTGATGGCCTTGGACTAGGAGACTCCTTTGCTTTGGAAGAAGCTGAAGCTCTGAGATAAGATGGTGGTGTTGGCTGTGACATATTACCAGAAACTTTGCTTTCACTCTTTGTTGAAGATGGTGGCGTCCCTTGCTTCATGCTCATGGCCTAAAGGTATTGTCTTCTCGAAGCAACCTGCAACTGCAACAACAAAACAATGGAACAGAGATTTGATTTAGGAGCTTCTGTTAGATTCTGTACTGCAATATTGGTGCATGGGTACTTATGGGGCCTGCACTCGGCAGTTGACTTACCTACTTTATACATCAACTTTCATCAATGGCTCTCAAGAACCCACAACAGACATCCCTCATTGACCACACCAAATCGAGCAAAAGAACCACTTATCTTGGCCACCTTTCAATCTCCAGCAAATTAGCAACAAACCCAATAGAGAGTTCACGACCTCTGAGCCTGTGGAAAATCTGAGGTGCTGAGAACACAAGTATAACATTCCATATTGTGATTGTGTTTTTATCAGTTTCTGTGCACATAATGAATTTTCAGTTAGAATTTGTGTTTAATGCATTTTTAATTCTTGGTTATTTAATGATGACATAAAATTATCCATCCATCATCATTTAGACTCCACATCACCTAACACGCTTAATGGTGAATTAAATTAAATCCCAGAATTTTAAATTTTGTAAGGAAGAAACGTCCTTTGGGGTTTTATGAGCCATTAAGTATTCATGAAATTTGAAAGGAATCAAGATACTCTTGTCCTTAACGATAAAAAAAAAACGAAAAAAAAGAAGAACCTTTTAAATTTTCTCTTTTAATAGCTAAAAAACAATGATCAACCTTTTCGTGGTCCATTTAGAAATTTATTTTCAAAATTCTCTTTCATTTTTAACTTTCATTTAAAATATGAAAACGGCCAACGGGATCTAGTTCAGTGAGAAAAGATCTTAACCTGTCAGTGCTCTCAGATTCGAACTCTCATGACACCTTGGTAATGTGTGTGAGAAAATCCTTATTCCCTTTCTAACTTTTACAATAACAAAAAAATATCTGAAAACAAATGGAAACGTTTTAGCATCTTATAATATTTGCTATCGTACTTGATGTGCTCATCATGCTCAGGTTGTCGTGTCGTACCACATAGAATAAGAGATGGGTCCGTGACATGTAGGGACAAGGACACATTTATATACTCATATGAGAGTCAAGACCCATGAGAATGATTGGAAGATATGGATGAATGCAGAAAAGGAACCCTTTTTCGAATCAAAATATATTTATATTCAATCGAACGGTGGTTTCTTAATGCGTAAAGACGAATCATAATTCACTCATAAATGGAAGATTTTGATTCATTCAAGTTGTCTTCTAAGCTCAAACTGCTCCCCTCTCCAAATGGTTGGTTGCAAGTCACAATTATGGGCCATTGAACTAATCTCCACAGACCCTAATTATTAATTCCATTGGCTTAATTAATATTATAGGATTTGGTGCATGTTTGGTTTTATGGAATTTGTTTTCTAGAAAGCTTTTGATATTATATTTTTTGTAGTGCTGTCTTCCACACATATGGAATTTCAAATGAGTTGTGTTGTGTTTATTTAGTCTTCTCTTTGTGTGGTACTCGTTACTCTTCAACCAATTAAGATGCGTTTGTCCTCTCAAGAAAATTGAAAAGAATCCAATCTTTTGTTTGTGCAAGAAAAGGAAATATAGCAGAAAGTGTAGTTTTTGTTGGGGTCCATATTCTTTATACTCCTCAATGTCAAAATCAGTATTGGGACGGTTAATTATTACATACTCTCTCTTATCTCACAAGGAAAACAAAAATTATATTTACCAGACAAATATTCAGATTTTGGCCATGGAAATAAGAAAAGGATAAGGAGGAAAAAAGATGATTGCGATTATTTGTGGCTCTTAGGATTTGAGTAGATATTAAACTAGCAATTTTCAAATTGATGATAGGGTAAGATGGGAGTAAAGGATTATTTATCAGAAAAAGGTAGAATCACTAACTATAAATCAGTTTATCAACTGACTCTTAGTTTAATGATACTTTTTTTTCCACCGTCGGAAAATATCCCATATTCAAATCTTCCACTAAAAGACACAATAAGAAGTTGATCGCTAGCTATGAGAATCCTCGGTTGTAATTTCTAAATTAAATATTGGGCTAGAGTAAATATATTCCATACCCAAAAATTAAGATAGGGACATCTAAAGACCAGCTAAGACTATTGGAAAAAGACATGAACTTGCAGACTAGAGGTCTTAAGTTTGAATCCCCACGACATAATAGTTGTGTATGTGTGAGAAATTCCCTTCATCTCTAATTTAGACTATCGCTTGTATTAAAAAAATAAAGACTATTGTTAAATATTTTCAAAGCAACATGCAAATAGGGTTCTATCCAAAAAGTATAGTTGCAACTTGCAGCTTCCAAATCCCACCACAGATGTTATATATGGATCAGAAAAGTAAGATGAACCTACGGATTAGAAAATACAGTGCTGCATAAAAAGACACAAAAAGCAAAAGCACTAGTTGATTGAGAAAGCTAGAAGTCATCAGCAGCACCATACCTTACTTAACCCTCAAATCAGATGAAAATCAAAGTTCTACTCTTTCTCTTTGTGCCTGCTTTTCCTCCGTCATAGTACGTGGAATCCATCTGCTGCTCTGCATAAACAAAATGAAACGTTTCTCTGTGTTCTGCCAGCCAGCCCTGCAACTGAGTGAAATGAAAAGCCTTTCAACTATTAGCATATATAACAAACAGAGGTTTCAAGTTCCAATGTGACCCCATGTGAAAATTAGGCCTGCATGGCTTTCCAGTTTTAAAATTTACAGGGACCACGCAGATGGGAAAAATGGGTATAAAAGAAAATACATAGCTCACCCGTGAAACTTTTTGAATGAACTATATATATACATGCAATGCAACAGTGCTGCATGTGACAGTGAGTAATTGTGAGTCTATTTGAGACTGTGACTTGTTCTTCTGCATGCGCTGAATTTCAAAGCCACCGCAGACTCAAGCTAGCTAAAAGAAATTGCTTGGTGTATGCATGATGCCCAATTGCCTTAATTCAGCTCATGCTTTTGTCTCATATTCTCCAAATTATGGACCACCTTAACATGGCTGATGGCCCCTTACATTGGTTTCAATCTTTCACTCGGGCATTGTCAAATTTCAAATTTGCAAAAAGGGTAGCTAGCTAAGATGGAGAAGATTTCGGCTAATGAAACTCCGGTTTTTGGTTATTTGAAAAAACTTTTAGCCATTCTAGAAATACTGTACGGGAGCAGGCCCATAGAATGCATAGGTTAATAGGCAAATCTTAGAGAACATACATGAAATGCAGATTGCAGAAGAAAAGTACCTGAAGGCTGTTGATCAACAAGCCAGAAAGAAAACTGGGGGGATGGGATTTCCTTTGAAGGATTTAACACTAGGATTGGAAAGTTGTATATACAAGTTAATAAGAGTGTGTCCAATTGGTTGGTCAGTTGCAACTTTACATCACATGATGTCTCATTTGTTGGTTTGATTGTGACATATATTGTCTCCAATTGATGTTGATTGAAACTATCTAATTCACGTGAGTAATTAATCAAATTCCTTAATCAATGCTTAATTAATGCTTGAATTTACACCGGAGAGGTTAACACTGTCAACAGTCTAACTGCATAACATGTGATCGAAGAAAAGAAAACTACACACAATTTAGTACTACTTGCAAATTTAATATTACAGCGTCTCAAATCACAAAATATGTCCAAAAAGATTTTTGGGTTTTCTCAATGATTGAATAAAGAGGCCTGGGTCCACTTTCTTCAACAAATCTTTCACTGTGGTGTTAGATAAACTCAAGCTTAGGTCTCATATGTTTGAGATATTGGGTCATGTTTTTTATGGGAGGGAAGGTCATTTGACTCTAGCAAATATTACCGCATTGAAATGAGCCCATAAAGTAGTTGATAGGTGATCATGAAAAATAGACGGTTCGGATTATGAAAATACAATGTATATGAGCCTCGCAAGAGTGTCCCTCAAATAATCTAATTTTGATCGCCTTATCCCTCTCCTCTTCCTTCCCCGTTGAGTTTTTCCAACTACACACGAGTGTCTACAAAAATAGGAGGCTTTGGTCCCAATTGTTGATGCTTGAAAAGAGAAGCTAGGATTTTTTTAGTACACAAGCAGAGTATGAAATAGGTGGCGGGTCAGATCAGAGGTCAGATGTCAATGACAGTCTCAGTCATCACCAGGCCACTAATATGTGGATGATCAATTCAATAAGTGGATGTAGAAGTAGAACCACCACTCTAGAGCTAAAATAAAAATGCTTATTGTTATGGGGTTTTGTATGAGCGTGCAAAAAAGTGGGCTTGACTTGTTTTGTATGATTGTTTATGGAGTAAAGTTTAATCCACTTTTTGTTGTTTTGTGAATGGAGAAATTGGGTTGTTGAGGGGCCAATTTAGATGTCAAAGGCACCAACCCCTTCAATCATTGAAAATGTTAAAACACAAGAAATTGAATGAGCCCTCAATCAATCAACTTTTATAGTATGTATTACAGCTAGGACTAATAATAATATATTGTTATTCAAGCTACTAAACCATAAATACCATAAATAATTATAATGAGTTTTAACTCATTAGTGTTGTGTTGCTCTCCAATTGAAGCTTTCAAGAAAGAAAGAAAAAAATGCCTCTTGGTAATTTACCCTCTCTGCATAAAAATATATTACATTACATATTCTTTTTCCTTTGGATAAAAAGAATATAAAAGCTCTCTAAGATGAGGCACTTGCATGCAATGCTACCAAAGAAGCATAAATGCCATCCTTGATACGGATCAAAGTTTCATGCTTTCCTTTCTCTGCAATGACTCCATTTTTTACCACTGCGATTACATCTGCACCCTTAATCGTGGATAACCGATGGGCAACCACGACTGTGGTTCGATCCACCATGATTCGGTCCAATGCATCTTGAACCACTCGTTCAGATTCAGCATCAAGAGCACTTGTGGCTTCATCTAGTAGTAGTATCTTTGGTGCCTTCATTATAGCTCTTGCAATTGCCACCCTTTGCTTCTGTCCACCTGACAATTGAATCCCCCGCTCTCCTACTATTGTATCATAACCCTGCATTGTTTTCCCAAACTTCACATGGTTAATATTCAACGTTCTGAATAAAATTTTGTGAATTTTCATCAACTAGTCCTCATTTATGCAGCACCATGGCGATAGATTATATTATAGTATTTGTGGCCAAAAGAAATTGACAAGCTTGTTAATTTTGTAGTGCCTACCTGTTGTAAACTACTGATGAACTTGTGAGCATTTGCCAATTCTGCAGCAGCTATAATTTCAGCCTCTGGTGCATTCCCTTCCTTTCCATATGCAATGTTGGCTCTGATAGTGTCATTAAACAATACAGGCTCCTGGCTCACCAGTCCCATTTGCTGTCTCAACCACTTGAGCTGTAGCTTTTGGATTTCAACTCCATCTAATGTAATGTGACCGGAATCAGGTTCATAAAATCTCTGCAACAAAGAGACAACTGTCGATTTCCCACTGCCACTTTCTCCAACCAAAGCAACTGTCTGAATAACATAATTAAAATTGTAAGTTCCAGAAACCTGAATAAGACTACGAGGTCCAAATCTTATTTATTGATTGAAATGAGTAAAAGAACAAAACATGTTACTAAGTTACCTTGCCATGATGAATGGTCAAGCAAAGATCCTGGAAGATTGGCACGTCAGGTCTAGTTGGATACTTGAAACTGACATGGCGAAGTTCAATTTCTCCCTTCACATTTTCTATAGTTGTTCCAGATTCATCACTGGAGTCTATTTTTGATTTCCGATCAAGAATTGCAAATATGGAAGAAGTAGAGCTCTTTCCTTTACTTAAATCAGGGGTTAGGGAACCTGACTGAGACACTGCAATAGCTGTCATCGTGAGAGCAAAGAAAACCTGCAAACCAGAGGAAAGCAAAATGTTAGCAATGGACTAGTGAAGATTTAATTCTTAAGTAACAAGTACTTATTTAGCAGAGTTCGGATCCTCTGCTTATGTTTTCTCTTCTATTTACTTAAAGACTTGTAGCACAAGGCAGAAAAACTAACCCGGAAAACATCAGAGAATGTTGTTTTGCCTGATGCAACAAGTCGGGCACCAGCATAAAAACTGCAGGCATACACAGAAAAGAGAAAAAAGAATGACAGCCCAAAACCAATCCCACTGATTAACCCTTGTCTTATCCCTGTCTTAATAGGGCCTTTGCATTTCTTCTGGTACAATTCAATCACCTTCTCTTCAGCACAAAAGGAAGCAATTGTTCTAATACTCCCCACTGCATCATTGGCTACTTGACTTGCATCCTCGTACATTTTCTGCAACCATTTAAAATTTTGAACATTGGCAAAAAGGAATGGTCTTATATATATTATGCATGTGAGATTGGATGATGTTCTATATATATATATATATATATATACATATTCTCTTCCTTTTTTTATTGGTTGTTGTAAAGTTTGGACTTTGGAGAAATACCTTTGCATCTGCACTGAATCCTTTCATGAACTTGACTTGAAAATAACCATTTACTCCTAATAGAGGTAGCAGAACAAGGATTATAAGAGCAAGTTGCCAATTTGCTACAAAAGCAATACACAAACCAGCAATTGCAGTTGCTAAATTCTGAACCAGCAAACCTAGAGCATCTCCAACAAGACTGCGCAGAGAAGCTGCATCTGCAGAAAGCCTTGCACCAATTGCACCACTTGAGTGCTCAGGATCGTCAAACCAACTTACTTTCATATAAACCACCTTCTCAAAGCACATTGACCGGACTCGTTTTATTAACTTACACCCCGCCACAGCAAAAAGGTAATGTCTTGATGGCTGTGCTATGAAAGATGCCACTCCAAAAACAAGAAAGATTAACGCCCAAAACTTTGAATCCTTACGGAGTTGATGAGGTGGCTCGAAAAAGGTCTTGATAATACTGGATATCAATATCCCAAAAATAGGTAAGATTACCCCATTGGCTGCTGCAGCTATAGTACCTAGTAATAACACTGGGATCTCTGGCTTGTTCAGGTAGGCCAGGCGGCGAAGTGAGACTTCTGGAGGGACTGTTGATGATGTTGAAGCAGGAATATCAGGCTCTGCAGATGTTGTTTCAAGGACACCTAAGGGTACACCATGTGAGATAGAGAAGGAATGACGACTACTACTTCCCCTTCCAGATGATCCCTGGCTTATGGATCGTAAGTTTGAAAATCTTTTACTTGAATGTCTTCGAGAATCCACATTGCTAAGCCTTTCGTGATCATTTACAGCAGTCTGTTCTGATATGCTGCTCATTTCTTGCAACCTTATAAGCTGGCTATATGCTCCTTCAGGGTCCTTAATTAGCTCAGAATGTGGACCTGCTCACTTGTGGTTTGTGAATTGTAACACTATTGGACTAAGAATAGGATGAATTGTAACATTATGATGAACTATAGACAATAAGATTCGGCATTCAAATGCATTACCTTTTTCAACAATTGTGCCTCGATGTATAACAGCAATGGTGTCAGCATTCCTTACTGTGCTCAAGCGGTGGGCTACAATCACAGTAGTCCGGTTGACCATAATTCTGTCCAGTGCCTCCTGCACAATTCTCTCAGATTCTGCATCAA